AAAAAACTGTTAAATAGATAAATAAATATTTGTAAAACAATTAAAATTTCCAAACAAAGTTCAAAAAATTAAGAACTTCATCATGGTTGATATTACAAAAAATAAATTAAAATTTTTGCAACTATGCAATGGTAATGGCATCTAGAATGCAGTTAAAGAGCAACAAATCAGGCTAAAATTAAAGCGCACTTAAGTGACAACGAGTTAAATCTGCATTAAATAAATAAAATTTATTGTAATAATTTAAATCAAAACGTAATAAACTAATTAAAGCGATAAATGCCTCTTCTGCACTACAAATATACAGAATCATTGATAAGTAAGACAGAAATCGGGAAAGAGAGAAATCAACGAAGAGAAATCAGGACTTCCACGTTTAAAATTTAGGTTTCGATCAGCTCCTTAGCTGCGCAGAAAATAAGGAGGATCTGCTTTCCTCGGCTTGCTAAATGGAAACCAAGGGATGCCGTACACCTCGGCTCGCCCATCGCTCTTGGAATGACACGACATAACGAATAAGTAATATGGAGTAAGGAAAATGAACCTTAGTACCGTGTAATATGACATAAGCGGATTGGGTTTTTATTTATATTTAATTTATATAATCACCACGCTATCGTCGTTTTAAATTTTTTTTTTTAAATGGACATACTAGTAACGTGTTGACACGTTCTCGTATGTTGACAATGTCCGTGTATGACACTGAACCTCTTTAAAACGAGTGCGTGCATCAGAACGTTGACCAAACCAAACCAAACCATAATAGGATTAGCATTAATCACCACCCAACAAACCAAAAAACCCAAATAGAAAGAAAGAAAAAACTTTTTTCTTTGGATGAGCTAATCAATAATAATGCTCATATTAATTCTACTTCATTTAAGAAGACCTTCAAGCTTCATAGTTCTTTTTTAAATATTTTATATATTATGAAGCTAGTTGAGATCGCTTTGGCATATCATTAAGTAATGATATTGTTCTTCATGCTCTTCTAGTAGTCAATAGCTCACTATCTTTCTTCCATGATAATTGTTTTTAATTATTTTTTAAAAATATCTCACAACATATATTAAATAGTAAAGATTACCAATGTTCACAGTATTTTCACTCTCGGAACTTGAGTCATAGATTGGGGAATTTGAACTTACAATCTCATGATCAGTCTTGATCAATATACTTGTCATGGAAATTACACATAGCACAAGTACTCGTAGTGCATTGTAATCATAATTGCAATGGTTGAGTATTTTCTAAATTAGTGCGAATATAAAAATTATATAAGAAGTAGCAAATATGAAAAAAAAACTATTAGATGCGAAACAATGTTTAAATTGCGTATTCGGTATTGAGGCGTTTTTCATTGTGAGGCGGCGTAAGCCTAAGGGCATTTGAGGCGTAAGCTTCAAAATCAAAAAATGTGTAACATGATTAATATTTTTATATACTTATTGAGTGAATAATAATAAAACAAAAAGCATAAGATAATGAAGGTTGAATCAAAATATCTCATAATAGACACATAAATATAGTCACTCAAAATCTATTTTCCAATCTCAGTATCTTTTTCATTAACAGCATAATTTTAATTTCCAAAATAATAGATGATATATAACATAAAAACTCGATAAGTCATCAGCACTGATTTATACGGATTCTCTGTTGAATATGCATTATGATAACTGCTTCTCTCCCTCTCCTATCCTATAGAGTAAATGTCGGGCATTTATTCAGATTTAATTGAAGTTTTATATATATAATAGTTGAGGCGTAAGCTCATGCAGATGAGGCGAGGCGGGCTAAGCAAGTTGAGGGAAAAGTTCATAAATAAACTCGAGCGTAGCATGAACGTTTATAATGGAATGCGCAAATGCGAGTCATATGCGCATTTTAAATACCATGGATGACGAAAACAGCATGAATAAGAAACAATTAAAGTGATGCTCCAGAGAGTCGATGATACACTTTAGCAAACAAATATGCTTGATATCAGTGCCTAAGCTTCAAGCTAAATATATCAAATGTTTAATAAGCAATAGAAAAGAATTATATTGCCAACGATGAAAATATTTTGACATAGATTATGAACAAAATGGGAGTGGGTAGGGCAAATAACTAGATACTTCTATATGAGTTTCAGTAAACTAGTGAAAGTCAATAAAACTGACGTTAGCCTGTGAAGCCCTTAAAGTGCCATCAAGAAGGTAAAGCTACTTATAATCAGCTATTCACCCTTTGAATGACATATATATAACATATCAAACACTCTCTTATTCCTAGACTATATTATTAAGGCGATCGGATCCGGGGAGTTCATTTTAGTCAAATTATTATAAAATATTCATTATTATTAATCTCACAAAGAATAGCTCATCATTGCTTAAATTTGTATATACCAAAATTACCAATGAGGTGGAATAATAGTAATTGTGGAAATTAAATTTTTAATGCATCTTGATTTGTGTAAGGATATCTATTTTTTAATTCATTTGTGCGATTTCCGTACTAAAATAATTAAACATATTCTATGACATAAAATTACAATCATATTAAGATAAGGGACAAAATTTGACATTAAATAGTTGGCTAAATGATATACAATACATACAAGGACATTTTACCATTTTTCATTTATTTATATCCATCCATATATTCCTCTTATTTCCTTCATCTTTCTTATCATTGAAAATCTTGAAAATCATACACTATATATAGATCATTATTTTGAAAAACGTTCATTGACCATCATATTGTTATACTCGCAAATGTAAAATTTACTCATTAAAACACTCTTCCTAAACATGTACTATCGAAAGTTATAAAACTAATCGGCTAGACTGAAGAACGTGAGAATTCAAGTTAATGTTCGGAAATTGAATCTGAGGGTTAAGTATGCTAATAAATATTAAATTATTTAATAAGTATCTAAAATATATACTAGTTATGTAAATAAATTTTTGACTAAAAAATAATAATAGAATTATCTCTTACTTTTATATTTAAATATTTCAATTTTAATTCAAGGGCTTTTAAAACCAGACCGGCGGCGTCAACCTAGTTTACGGGGGTGGTGGCGGTCCGGTCAAAATATTAACGTGAACAAAACTGGCTCCCTAGCTCGAAACGGGGGTTTGACGCGACGTGACGGTCCAGTTTACTTTAACCGAGGTTTTTTGCTGCCAAAAAAATGAACGGTGATGCATGTGGAGTGCAGCTTGCGATTATACGAATGCGGCGAAAACAAAAAAAAAAACCTATCGTATTCGATATAGTGGCGCGGCTACGAGCTGTTAACCTTGTTCTTTGGCATTTGGAGTCTTCTCTCCGCTCGGTTATTTTCACCTTCGGTTCTCCTTTTCTTCCGGTCCAGGCTTCTTCTTTTTCTCGCTCTGCTTGTTACGGCTCTCTCGTTTTCTCGAAGGTTGACATTAGGTAGTTTACTTTTAATTTTATAATTTATTGGAGGGAGTTCGGATTATTTGTAAATTATAAATTTTTCATTTGTGATTATACTTTTGAATTTGGCCTTCTTTGTAAATATCACTCATAAAAATTGAATTTTTTTAGCAGTAATATCTACGACGGCACAGGTATTATTTCTGAACAGATTTAGGTTTTTTTCTTTCATATATATATTCCATTATTGCAGAATTTCAAGATTAGAAATTGATTCTTGACTTACGTATGAAATTCTTTTTGAAGAGTTGTAAGCATTTGCATTCTTAAAAGATCTTGCTTTTGATCTCAATTATTTAATATTTAAATATAATAAATATTTATTCATTCCGGTTCTACACAGTCGAACTCAACTTAAAAGCTCCTTCGTTCATTGCGGTCGGTTTTAAAGAGCTGTTAAATAAATTTTAAACTAATGAGTGAAAATATAAAGCATTATTTATATAAATTTATTACTCTGTTCTGTTAAGATATATTATTTTATTTATTATAGTTATATATATATATATTAATATATTTTTATATTATAATATATAATTATAACAATCAAACGTGGGAACGGTGCAAATGTCCGATTACGTCCCAGTTTTAAAAATTCGGCTTCGCAGCGAACACGACTACTCGGGATAATACGGCGGTTGACCGTGGAATTGGTCAGGTTCGGAATTGGCCGATCAAAAACTTTTTTTTTCATATTTTATAAAGTAGAAACATTTCTTTATTGAAATTCTTTAATTTAATATTGAGATTTATTAACTATAATATCTGATGTATATCACAAGAACCGAAGATCGTGAGATTCAAGTTATGTGACAGAAATTGAACTGAGTGTTGAAGGTCAGGTGCCTAATCAATATTAAATTATTAAAATATAGTCTAGAATATCTAATATGTAAATAATAATTTATGACTAAAAAAATTAATAGAATTCATACACATA